GGCAAAATTAAAAAAAACAAGGCAGTAGACTAATCCCTCTGTCATCTAAAAAAACTTCGAGTCATTTAATTCAATCTTGAAAAAATTATCGCGTATTAAGAGCTGCACGAATACTTTTGCGGGCCACTGTATTTTATTTTCTGCCGCGCGAAATAACAGAGAACGAAACACGTTCGTTCACGGCAAGGCGTGTTTCGATGCCATGGCGAAACCGTGTTGACGTCGTTCGGTATGTTTGCACGAACGTGTCTCTTAATGTGGTTCGCCGAGGATTCGAGTTCCGCACAGATAAATACAGACTGCTGCCGAACGAGATACGCCGCGATGCGATAAGGGACTGTACACCGTAGTAGCACAGCCGGAACCGGCCGTGTGCGAGTTCAGTTCGCTGGTTTATGCCGGCACCCTTGGGCCGCCGCGCGCGACTTACGACCCTCCTGAAATGTACAGGGTGCTCCGTGGTCGTACCGGTCTCCTTTTGTAGTGCGCTCGCTAACGTCGTTGCACGGCGCTCGTCCGTGCGAATGGGGAATCGAGGGAAAATCCTTCTCGCCGCTGCTGTACGAACATTCTGGCGACTGAATCTCGCCGAAGCCTATTCCGCGCGGAATTCTATGCAGCTTGGAGACTCCGTTCGTGCCGAAGACTCCATCTACCGTGTTCAGCCTACCACGCCGAGCACGCTATTCGCCGAATTGCCTATATTCTGTTGAATTTTGGAGATCGGAACCCGCCGTGGTGCGAGGATAAATTCTGCAAAATTGATCCACGTGAGTGTCCGAAACGATGGAAAATCGATGGTTGAAATTATTATATATGTAATATAATATAATATTATATATTATTATATAATATATATATAATATTATATATTACATGTTACATCGTTACATGTTACATTGTTATATATTACATATTACATCGTTACATATTACATATTACATTGCTACATGTTACATTGTTACATTGTTACATATTACATTGTTACATGTTACATTATTATATATTACATATTGTATTATTACACATTACATTATTACATAATTACATATTACATGTTACATGTAATATATTACATATTATATATTATAATAATTACAATATATTATATATTATAATATAACATATATATATATAATTATTTTATGTATGTATATACAATTCGCTGAAATTATGGTCGACGCTGACGCGTATCGACTCTGCGCCGGCAAGGGCTTCCCATTAACCCCGTTCGCAGGCCGTCGTCAAGATCATTGCCAATGCTGGACGTATCAGTGTTTCCGGCCGTATCTCTGAGAGCGTAGTAGCGAAGCTGAATCGACTCGTTGTTTATCGCTCGAGATAAGCCGCTGCGCGCGTACTGCGGTAGTTCGCTACGACTTGGAACACCTTGTATATACGTTTCATAGAGCTGGGGTCTTAAACCGGTCTAGATGAGTCACTCCGCATCTTTTTGTCGCGCGCCGCTGCTCTCCGTTCAACCCCTGCCGCACGCACAAGTCGATTTCATTCAAAACGGAAACACGTAACTCTCGCCGCCTTTTCGCAAGCGTACGTTCGTCGAGCTGTTTTTTTAACACGTCGAGCGCCGCATGTAGCGACACTAATTTCTGATCAATTTTGAAAATATATTTTCGTTGCGATACATTCGAACGAACTGAATTTAATTATGATTCATTGTGGTAAATTTTAACTTTCTAACTTCGGTTTAATTAATCGAATTGCTTTGACTTTGTGGAAATTTTAGTGCTCGATCGTCGGCGTTGAACGTGTTAACCAGCCAACTGTGACACCTTTTCAGGGCGCGTAAAAATTTCGTAATGTTAATATTTTTTATAACTGAGGGGTTCCTCAGGTCATTTGAAGCAACTTTTTCCTTTACAAAAATCTTTTCCGATGCACCGTTGACGAGTTATTAACGAAAAACAGTGACCAATAAGCGGCGAGCTCGAATAGGCGCGAGGCGGCGCAGCCAACGAGCGCGCGAAGCCCCGTTCCACTGATTGGCTCGGCCGCCTCGCGCCAGCCGATCTCGGCGCCCATTGGTCAACGTTTTTCGTTAATATCTCGTCAACGACGCCTCGGAGAAAATTGTTGTAAAGGAAAAAGTTGCTTTAAATGACCTCAGGAACCGCTCAGTTGCAACAAATTTTATCATTACATCATTATATTTTAACGAAGCCGCGGATTGCATTTTTGCTAAGGAAAAAGTTATTTTAAGTGACCCGAGGAACCCTTCATTTCCCGTTCGTACAATAATTTTGGGTCACTCTGTATGTGCTAACCGGTTAAGTCAGCTGACGCGTTAAACGATTTAGGCACAGACACAGAGACGCGAAGCGTTTTGGGAGCGTCCCGGAGCCTCGAGAAAAGAAGGAACAAAAATCGGTTTCGAACGTCTGCGCTTCGCAGCGACGTCCGGTTATATTTTTAGCCTCGAAAATTCTAAGTGGAAATAGATTCTTATGAAGCTTTTATAGCTCGTTGTATATTTACGATTAGATTGTGCCGACTTGCTGTATCGATGACGCAAACTGTTTCTAAGAAGGCATGCAGAACAGGCTCGATGCGGCAAAATTAATTGAGAACGAGAGAAAGAAATTCCTGGGCACCCGTTTTTTCCTGCAGAGAGAAACGCGAAAGATTTTTATTTCGCGCAGTGATTTTCGCAGAGAGAGAGAGAGAGAGAGAGAGAGAGAGAGAGAGAGAGAGAGGTCTATTTACGATACGCAGGCGTTGATAT